ATCCTGTCCCAGTACTGTAGTTGCTACCATGGCTAACTCATTAACCTTGCATTTACGTGATGAGTTCACATTCTAAGATGAATTCAGATTCTAAGATAACTGGGTAGCTAACAGGTATCATGAGTGAAGTAAAAAAAAAAAATCAAAACACAAATATTTAAATGATGATCCAACTTTAAAGTGACATGAAAAAGGAAAACACTTTCCAAATAACTGTATTGTAGTTGCTCACAGTTGCTTCAGTGTGGATCTTAAACATCCCCCAAAGGGTATTAAAGGTTTGGTCTTCAGCCTTTAGCACTACTGGAAGATGGTGGAATCTTTAAGATGTGTGGCCTAGTACAAGGAAGTTAAGTCACTGGGGGCACACCCTTGAAGGAGATATTGACACCTGCCCCTTCCCGTTTCTCCCCTTACTTCATGGCTGCCATGAATGTATAGGTCTTTACCATTTGCTCCTGCCACAATGTACTATGTCTTCACCGGTCCAAAGCATTGGGGAGAGGCAAGTGACGATGGACTGAAATCTCTAAAGCTATGCCAAAATAAACCTTCCTCCATCTAAGTTATTTATCTTGGAATTCTGTCATAGTAATGGAAAGCTAACAATAGTCTATGAATAGGAACACATACATATAATGGTGCAGAACAATTGCATTTTATAAATGTAAATGCCAAAACAATTTGCTTGATGTGTGAGCTTGGAAGCAGATCTCCAGCTCCAGTCAAGCCTTCAGAATGCCTAATCCGGACTGCAACTTCACAGGTCCCCTGGGCCAGAATCACTCAGCTCAGCTCTTCCAAAGACCCACAGAATGAGATGATACTGCTTACTGTTATAAGCCTCTAAATTTTGGTGTGATGTTATGCAGCATCCATATACCTAGAACAATACTGTTTCTATTTTCAAGAAGGTATTATTGGGATTCTAGAAACAGACATTTCTGGAATCATTCCACACCCACCTTCGGTACAGATATTTAATATCTGTGGCTTAGATTCTGAGAAAGAGCAATTTAAGAAGTGTACTTCCTCTATTATTTATTGTCCCTGATTAGAACATTGCTATGGTTTGGGTGTCACTCATAAACATTCATGTACTGGGAAGCCTGGTCACCAGGGTAAGCAGGATTGGGAGGTGGGAGGTACAGAACTGGGATCTTTAAGAGGCTGAGCCTTGTGTGATATTCTTGGGTTACTGGAGGTCCTGCCCTTGAAAGAGATTAAGGTAGTTATCATTAAGAGGGTTGGTATAAAGGCCTGAACCTGGGCCTACTCAGCTCTCCTATACTGTACTATACTGTATTGAGATGTGATCACATGCTCTTGCTATTCCCATTCACCATCATGTGATACAGTTGAGAGGTCCTCACTAGAACTGAGGGGCCCTTCCCTTGATCCTCTAAAACTGTGTGCGTGTAAGCCTTTTTCTTTATAAAGTTAATACCTCAGGTGTTTCATTATAGCAATGAAAAAAATGGACTGATACAGACACCTATGTGTACCATTTTTCTTAAGCCTTTTCTTCCTTCTCCACTTCCTGTTCTTCTTTTACAAATAAAACAGACCCCAGGACTTGCTAAACTCCTAAGCACCGTGCTTACTTTACACATTTACTTTTGTTGAAAAGTTCCTTAAGTGCAATATATTTTTAAAACTTAATATGCATAAAATCTATTGTATCAAGGTATTTAAAATATTATACTAATAACAAGGGGTAAGCACATAAATAATCTTCAGCTTACAAGCTACCCGGGGCTGGGTGTGGTGGCGCACACCTGTAATCCCAGCACTCGGGAGGCTGAGACAGGAGGATTGCTGTGAGTTGGAGACCAGCCTCAGCTACATAGTGAGACTAAAAAAAAAAAAAAAAAAAAAAAAAAAAAAAAAAAAACCCCACCAGCTACCCGGGATGACTTCTCTGCCATTACAGCCAGTCACACATACCAAATTTTTATCCATGACTTGCAGAAGCCACTTTCTACAACAGCCAAATTTTGTCACATCTGTTTCATTTTAAAATAAATGCCATCAACTATGGGCAGTTTAAAAAGTAGTAATCACCTCTCCCCAGCTTTACAAACACACAATTAGCTAATCACTTTAATTATATGCCCTCATGTACTGTTTGCTATTACTTTTGCTAAAATAAGAATAAATTCACACTGTAAATATCTGCTTCAATCTTCCCTCCTTCCCATCAATGTCACAAATTACTTACAAAAACCTGAGATAAAAACACAAAAACGATTTTTAAGTACATTTTGCTGAACTGTATTTGCGATGAAACAATACATTTAATTTTTTTAATGGTAAAATAGCAAAGGTCTGTGACATGTCTAGTGAAGATAGATATGCCAAAGGGAGGAAACACATTTTGTTCACGTTCTCTGAACTTTTTATAGCCGTTAGATCTCTGAGCATAAAATGCAGTTCCTATCACCACTACAAATAAAAACATACAATTCTCAATCTCCACGTTGCAAATCTTGGCAAATTCCCAAAGGCATGCGTTTCCGAGGATGGTATGACGCAGTAATTTTGGGGTCAATTTTAAAATGGTGCAGGAAGCCCTGGTTATCTGTGGGGACTGTTTTGCACAGCACTGAAGTCTCTAGGAACGCGGAGCGCAAAGGGCTCGTCTACCTGTTGGGGATGGAAGGCAGTGGGCTTCTCCCGCAAGTCTCCTCACCCTGCCCTGGGCAGCACCAGGGGCGCGGAGCCCGGAGAAGGTTGCTAATACACCAGTCTAGGAAGCGCGCCGAGTCGCAGCCGGGAGCGGGGCTCGCGCAGACCTCAGGCCTCAGGACGGCGTCCGCCCACGGTCACGCACACCTTGCTCGCCAGACCTGCGCTCCTGCCCTCCCGGCAAGCCCCATCCACCCGCAACCCGACCTCCAAACTTCGGTTTCGGGTGCACCCCGCTTCCGACCTCCCTCAGAAACGCAAGAAGACGCAGAGTCCCGGAGGCCTCCCTCAAACTGGGTCGCTCGCAACTGCCCAAATCATACCCACCCTCGGTTCTCTAAATTGAAGCGCGAACAGGGGGGGCCCCGCCCCTCGGGCAGCACCATAGAGACGCCGGGGCTCGGCCGGAGCGGCCCAGACTCAGCGTCCGCCGAGAGGACGCTGGGATGCCGACCGGACTTGGAGTTTAACTTTACCGCCCTCGGCGCTGTTTGGTTGAGTGGATTGACATCGTTAAGTTCTCAGTCGTATCTCTAGAAGGGAATCTCTGGGCGACAGAATAAATTTAACGGGCCTTGTTGGTTTCCTCCTATCAAGCTGGAGGTTTCGGTTTTTGGTTTACCCGGCACCGACTCCTGAAGCCTCAGACCTCCCCGTGACTCACCCGAGGCGCCCAGGAAGTTGGGGACAGAGAAATAGCCTCACCGAATGCCGACGCATAGGCCGTAATGGCTCTAGAAGGTGTAGAGAATATTTTAACATCCTGTAGACCCGTGAGGGCTGGCGACAGACCGGTACTTAACATATCTTTTGCAAACCTTGGGACCCGAAGCTCCTCGGTAGCTCTTCACCGCCCCCTTGGGGACTTCTCTATAACGACGCTGGTGGGCATTAGGAGCTCATCTCTTGTGGACTGCAAGGACGTGGCCAGAACACTTAACCACCAATATTGAATGTTCAGATGAAGTCTCTATGGCATATAGGATACAAACCAACCTGACTGACAAGTTTATTTACTGGGGTGTTGTAGGATCCTTTCACTTCCCTGCCTCACAATGACGGGTGCTGTCTTAGCACCAAAGAGACAACAGCTTCATATTCAGCCTTAATGAGAAGTGGCCCAAAAGATTCCCAGGGACATTCTTTCCTGTTCCTACATAGTTTCTCAGAACAAGTGTCAGAAAACCAGGGCAGCAGTAGGATATTCATTATACAGTTAAGAGAGACCACAGAAAATTGGAATGTTAAGCAAACTCATGGGCCACTCCAACCTCAAATTTCTCAGTCAAGTAACATTTCATTACTTTGTCACACTAGTTTGGAGGCCGTTCAGTCGTGTTAAGGACAAATTTTCAGTCTGAATATCCTTATGGCAGGATAGCACATCCTACAGTCTAGGGACAACATAGATGGCTTACTGCAAACCAAAGCAGAAGAAAATTGTTCTTTTTTTAGTAGTCTACTGACTAAAAGCACAAATCCATTTATAGCCCTCAAGTGCCAGGCACTGAGGTTAACAAGGCCACATAATTTCTTCTTGGAGCTCAAGTTCTACTGGAAACAAGTTGTACTGTTACAAGTATTATAGAGGAAAGAAACATAATAAACTGGATGATTAGAGCTGGGAGAGGATAACTAGTCAGGTAGTTCGAGCGGCCCCTCTAAAGAAGTTTTATTTTTGCTGATAAATGAGCCAAGAGTGAGAGAAGCTAAAAACCACTGTGTCCATTCACTTTATTGACCCTACTACCCCAGATCTACTATACTCTTTTCTCTCCATCACTCTCACGTCTTCTATTGCATCTTCCTTTTTATGTGAAAAGCCTGGTTTTTCATACAAAGCAGAAAATTAGCACACTTTATTTTTGGTACGAGAGATTGAACTCAGGACCTTGCACTTGCCAGGCTCATTTCTCAATTGCACATTCTTCAGTATAAATCTTTTCATATGTTCAAAAGTAATGAAAGTACATATTTTAAATACAACAGTTGTTTAAGTGCTTGATTCTTATCTTGGGATATGAGGTTGATCAGGCTTTTATTTTTTTTGAGATCCAGTTCTCTTTTCAGAGTTCAGGAGTAAAGAGATTAAGTAGCAAATGCCCAAATACACAATTATGCTTACTAAAAAAATAAACAAAGACTAATAGTGAATGTTTCACAACATAAAAACAGCAAAAAGTTATAATTTTGTAAGTTCTAAAATATCTGAAGAAATAAACTGTTACAATTTCATAACAGTTCTTTATTAATAAAATGTAATATATATCCCCCCCCTTTGGTACCTGGGATTGAACTCAGGTCCTTGCTCTTGCAAAGCAGGCGGCAAAACCACTGAGCTAAATCCCTGGCCCTATACTATATATTTTAAGAAAGTATAAATTAGGCAAAATACAATCAAGATTAAATGTCAATTCTCAGCCACTGTATAGAATATATGCAATTTCTGGATTTACTAGTAATCTTTTTACCAGTAACTTGAAGCACCCCTCCTGACTTTAATAACATATCGTAATTATTCCATTTTTCACTTTTTGGAGTTTGATAGAAGATAGTCAATATCCTGAAGGATTTCAGAAGTTTTTTTCAATGCTACTGATACTCTCTTTTCGTCCACTTCTAATAGGATTTCTGAAGAATCAGAAGACTGTTCATTTTTCTTGCTTGAAGTGTAGTTTAAGACACCACTATTTTCCAGTAGCACTGAATTAGTTAAGGAATTTTCCCTCACATTTTTCATTATATAAATATTTTTATTTTCAAAAAGCCTGGCCTTCATATTAAAATAAATCAGTTGCAACAAAGATCTCTTGGATTTGGAATAGAGTTTTGACTTCAGAATTTATGGCGTCTACACACAGATGAGGAATATTGTTACAGTATAATGTAACAAGAAAGAATATGTACATAAGTATGGATGGAAAGAAAAGAGGGTGGTAGGGAGGAAATAAAAGATTTATAATCTCATAACTTCTTTTTTTGTTGTTGTTTTGAGTCAAGGTCTCACTATGTAGTTCAGGCTAGCCTTGAACTCTCATTGATCCTTCTGCCTCCACCTCCTGAATGCTGGGATTACAGGTACAGGCCACCACACCCAGTTTAACATTTCTCAATGTCCTTCATTTATAGTGTTATGAGAAAAAAAAGGAAAAGGAAAAACTGCCAAAGGTGTAGGGGAAGTGGGAAGGGTAGGGGAAAGGAAATAAGGGAAAATAAAAAAATAAAAAGGAAAAAAAATGGAACAAGAATAGGGACAGAACTATAAACAATCTGTGTAGTGTCTTGTAGAGTGAAAGAGAACCCTGTCCCTTATTACAGGACTTTATCATTTAAGAAAGATTATAGAAAAACAACAAGAAAACAAATTTAGATAAATAGGGTGAATAGAATGAAAAGTTTGAAAAGGAAAAAGAGGCCTTCACAGGTATAATTTAGAATATATGTGAAAAAGTCTGCAGAGGAAATCTTAACATAAGTTTACCATTCTTTACCAAATTTAAACCTGAAGAAGGATAGTACATTAAGGATACAGTTAAACTTCTGTATCTTTTCAAGTTCAGAAGCAACAGACCTGTGCAAGAAATAAAAATAAGTTTATGCTAGTTGTCTCAATCTTTTATATTCACAAACTTCTATTTTTTAAGACAGGGTCTTGCTAAGTCAAACTTTTCTTCCTATTTGACATTGTCAGTTATACTTCTAACCAAGCGAGGGAGGGGATGGGAGGAAAAAAAGGGAAATAAAAAGAATTAAGGTGTATTACGTACATATACAAATTTTAAGAATAATTTTTAAAAGTAATAAAACTTAATGTTTACCTTTGTTAAAATCACATTAGATCACCTCAAAAGTTGCATTAAAAGATTTCTTAATTTTTCCTGGTATCCTTTCTAATTTATTCAGATTATACCCTCAATAATATTAATCTTCCTAATGGGGCCTCTTCCTGTCACTTTTCCATTTAGAAACTTGTGTTTCTGTCAAATCTGAACACCTGTATTTTAATTCAAGATTCATTCCTATCCATCAAAACTTACACTATTCCCTAACAGGTAGCATCTGTTCTGTTAAAATTATCTTTTCACCATCTCCACAGGCCAAAAGATCCTTTTAACCTCTGCCCTTGCTTCATCCCTATAATCTCTTTTTTTTTTTCTAAATATTTCTTTGGGGCCATGGATTTAGCTCAGTGGTTCTGCCACCTGCCTTGCAAGTGCCAGGTCCCGAGTTCAATCCCCAGTACCCCACCAAAAATAATTAATTAAATATTTCTTTGAAGCTCAGTCCTAGTCCCTACTTGCTTTATTTGTTCATTTGCCAGTAAATGGGAGGCAGCCCTAAAAATAAGACAAATTACTTAAAAGTTAATTTCAGAAAGAATTTGTTAGTCAATGTGGTTAATTTTGATTGAATTGAGAAGCACTGAGGAAATTAGTAAAGCCATTTCTAGAGTTGTGTGTGTGTTTCCAGAGACTACTGGCATGTGGGGCAGCAAAATGATGGGTGAGAGCTGCCCTAATTGTGGGAGGCACCACCCAATGGGGTGCAGGCCCAGATGTAACAAAAGAAGGAGGAAGCCAGCTAGCACCAGCCCTCTGGCTCTCTTGCTGTGTTCTGGCTCCCATGAAGTGAGCAGCTTTCTTCCATGACACTATGCCCTTCCCCTATAACGTTTCTGCATTCATACAGGTATAAAAGCAATGGAGCCAGCCAAACATGGAACTGACCTCTGAAACTATGAGCCAAATAAATCTTTCTTCTGTAAGTTAGTTTTCCCAGGTATTTCATTACAGCAATGGAAAACTAACAGTCAACATTTTATTTCCTTTAAAATTACTAAGATTTTAAGAATTCTCTTTAAATTTTTCCATAAAGTTTTCAATTTATTATATAAACCACTCATTTTGATGTAAAGTTTTCAATGCATAGTTTCATGCCCTTCAGATGAAATATGATTTAATATAACGAATTAGGTATTTGATTAGAAATACATTATTTTCAAATTTAAAGTATCATAAACATAGGAGTAAAATATATTTAAGCTAAAAGTGTTCTAGGAAAAAAAGTTTCAGAGTTTAACATTTAACACTTGAATATTTAAATCTCAGTTGGCTGTTGTGAACAGATTAAAAGAAATATAAATACCAATTTTCTTCAAGAAGAGAAGATGAAGGACATGTGAGCATCTCTCTTGGACTCATCTGAGTGAGTCCTCTGCACCACGATGTTACTATTTTCACATATCTACAATGAACACATGAAAAAAAAACCTTGAAAATGAACTATAGTCATTCTGCAAATGTAATAAAAAGGGAAGAGCATTAAGACAATTTGGGGGAAAAGGATAAAAACATTTTAAGTGAGGCATTTACTGGGTAATTTTCTAAAACTTTCATTAGACAGAAAAATCAAGTTTTTTCATTATTCATCAAAAATGCAATGATTTACTCACATCTTTGGTTAATAAAGATGACATTTAAGAGTCAAAACACAAGTAATCTCATTTAAAGATCAAATTCAGCCCGGTGGTGGTGCATGCCTGTAATCCCAGCACTCGGGAGGGTGAGGCAGGAGGATCACTGTGAGTTCAAGACCGGCCTGGGCTACATAGTGAGTTCCAGGTCAGTCTCAACTACACAGTGAGACTCTGTCTCAAACAAACAAACAAACAAACAAACAGATCAAATTCAAATGTTTAAATTCTATTTTTAGTTTTTCAAAGTAAAATGAATTTTCTTAAATTTTATAATGAAAATGCCATCACACTTCAGACTATGTGCATTTTGCTTATTAAAATTTAAACCAGAAATCAGCCTTATATGTGCATATGTACACACAAATATACATATTTATGATTATAAACTGCATATATAAAAAATGGAATTTAAAGAATTATGAAGTGACTGGCTGAACAAGTAGTAATATTTTGTAAAGAAACTATCTTCTTGAGGCAAATTATTCAAAATGTCAATTGAAAGAGCATTTAGACCAAAAAGCAATGACGACCAACAGAAAAATAAATTCAGGAAGTAAAACAAGCAGTGCTTATGTGAACATCAAGTAAAAATCACCAAAACATCAAGACTACCACAAGTAGAATTACTATAATATAAAATTATATAAACCAAGAGAAAAGCATATTCATAAAAACTGATTTTAAGAAGCTTTGCCCTTTTAAGTATCATCTATTTCATTTAATTTTTCCCACTTTCTAGAAATACATATAATTTTAGTATCTGTGGTTGAAAACCCTACTTCAAATTGTTTAGGGGATCAGGATTAATTAATTGGCTAGCACATCTGATCACAGTCCTATCTCCATAGTCTCTATGTATGTGATCATCTCTGTATCACATCAGTTTGAAAAATCACCTGAATACAAGGAAATGATTAAAGCTGACCTTATTTATTTAGTTATGCTAAACACCAGTAGAAGTGAAAACTTTAGTCTGATTAAAATAGTTCATTCACATTATCCACATGGAAAAATTTTAAATGTGTAACATTTAAATAATGTTTAAACTGAGCATGGTGGCTCACGCCTGTAATCCCAGCACTTGGGAGGCTGAGGCAAGAGGATTGGTGTGAGCTTGAGACCAGCCTGGGCTATATATAGTGACCAGCCAGGTCAGTCTCAACTACATAGTGAGACCCTGTCTCAAATAAATAAATAAACAAATTAATTAATAATGTTTATAGGGCTGGGGATTTAGCTTAGTTGGTTCCACCAGCTGCCTTGCAAGTAGAAGGACCTGAGTTCTATCCCCAGTACCAAAATAAATAAATAATGTTTATAACACTGCTTCTGTGAAAACATAAAACTAATTTTTTAGTGGGCAATGCTGAGAATAAACCACACCTTGTGCTGTACCCTACCACAGAACTACATCCCCAACCCAAATATTATGTTAAAAACAATTGCTTTTTAGTACCTTTCATATGGTCCAGGGTGTTCAATTTGAATTAACTGATCTTGTCCATCAGGAAAAGTTAACCTACACCAACCTAAGTTGAGACCTTGATTTACCTTAAGAAGCAAGGAGGAAAGGCAAGTTTTATCACTCCAAAACAGAAAACAAAAATATAATCAACTTCTTCTGATTTACCAAATTAAAAAAATAAGTAGTTGAATCATGAAAAGTTATTTTAGGGGCTGGGGATTTAGCTCAGTCATGCCACCACTTGCATCAGAAGCGCAAGGTCCCAAGTTCCATCCAAATAAATAGTTATTTTGACATGGCTATAATTTACCACCCCTCATAGAGATAATTATGAAGAAAATAATATATAATATATATAATATTATTTTAACTATAATAAGTTGTCTTTATACAAATGACTGTTTGTTACTTTGTTCTGATTTTTGCTGGGAAGTCCAATGAAATCAGTAAAGCCTCTTAACAGATTTTATAGTTAAAAATTTTGAGATATTGTGGTACTTTGTCTTTTGTTGTTTTCCATAGATAGATGCAACAAAAATATATTTCTGACCACAGGTAAGAGATTACAGATAATGTAATATATTTCAAAAAAGCTCAAAGATAGGATTTTGAATGTTTTTAGCACAAAGAAATGATGTGTGAGAAGACAGAGTACTTATCTTAACATGAACATTATATATTGTATCAAAACATCACTTGGTACCTCATACATATGTACAATTTTTGTGTCAATTTTTAAAATGCTCCAATAGATCTTACTATACACAAAAAATAGATTTCCTTCTAAAGTACACTAACCTGTTCTTTTTCAACAAAAGAGCTGAAATTCCAATTCAAGGTTAAAGTGATGCCATCTAAAAAAATAGCATGTACTTTGTCATCAGAGTAGGCAAGAAATCTTCCCACATTGGATATGAGTGACTCTTTCAAAAGTAAAGGCAGAATGTTGCTATTATTTATCCCAGGTACCTAAAACCAAATAAATAAAAGTATCAGGGAATAAAGTTATTTATTAACAAGATTTAAATGAATATTAATTAATTCTGAAGAAACTTCAGATTATCCAGCTTAGTTAGTATCATAGAATTCTTACGTTTAACTTTTTCAGAAATAGAGAGCAAGACATTATTTTACAAGCAGATTAAGTATTAATATTTATAGAGCTAACATTTAACATTTAACTCTGAACATTACATAGAAAATAGACTTTAAATCTAAAAGATTAGATATACTTTAAATCTAGTAAGTTCTGTTTTCCCCTCCATTAAAAATTAATAAATTGGGCTAAGTGTATGGTTCAGTGGTAGAGCTCATACTTAGCATTTGAGAGGTCCTTGGTTCACTCACTAGCATGGGAATGCAGATACAAATACAATAAGGAAAACTATATGCAATAAAAGCATGGCATGAAGAAAGGAAAACTATAAACAATAAAAGCATAACACGAAGGAAAGGGGAGAGGAAAGCAGGGGAAGGGAAAGGTTGAACACAAAGGCCTGACTTTTTCTTTGTAAATTAGATGAATATTATTCTGAATAAACAAGTATTAATGTTACAGACTTTCTTGCATGACTTTGATGAAAGCAATTTGAATTTAGAAATATGGACACAAATAAAATAATTTTACTATACCATTTTCCAGCAACATATACCATAGTTATGGCTTAGAGAAAGCCTTGTCTTGGCACAGTGTTGAAGAATTCTGTGAACATGAAAACACTTGTTAAATGTTTGCAAATAGTAACATACTCCAATGCTAGTAATCCATCCTCAATGCTGTGTAACATTTTAGATAGATGGCAAATAACACATTTTCACTGAAATGTTCTTGTAACTCTTCTTCAAAGAATCCATGAACCCCAGAAGGGAATTTTGGTTCCCTCTGTACTAATCTCACGTAGGTAAGGCTATTCTTCTAAACTGACAATGAAATGACTTCAAGGAGAGAATTAACAGGTGGTTTTTTTTGTTTTGTTTTGTTTTGTTTAGACTGGGCTTTGAGCCTAAAGCATTCACACTGACTATATTCCCAGCCCTTTTATTATTTTGAGACCAAGTCTCACTAAGTCGCTAAATTGCCCAGGGTGGGCTAGATTTTGAGATCCTCCTGCCTCAGCATCTGGGATTATAGGTATGGACCACCACACCCAGCTGCTATCAATTCGTAATCCTATCCTTAATCACAAGAAAATGCATTAAGGTTTTTGGGTGTATATCACTTGGTTCAACTGAATGTGAAGAAATTACCTGGTTGCCTGCTTAATCAGAGAACATACAGAGAACAGACTTCCTGGTCTATCTGGAGGAAGGTTGTTCACTGAGTAAGTTTTCTCTTCTCTCTGAAAATTAGTTTAAAATGAAAAATCTCATTAAGAATAAATTTTGGTCCTTATTAACTTTTTTGTTAAAATATGTATTTACAGAATGACAAGGCAAGAGTTATTTTAACAATGTAAAGCTCATACACTTTGTGTATTTTAATGCTTTCATGATGCTTTTCCACTGTCCCATTTATTTAAAGTATAGAATGCTATACTGCAAAGTTATGTTCTAATAGCCTATAACTTACTAATCTTACTAATACTTAATCTTGGCTATACTTCAACTAATATAGCAACCAAAGTAATTTTCACACATTAGTAGGAAAGGAGACATCACCTAAGTCACATGCATTTAAAAAAAAAAGCCTACATGGGTTTAAAAGCCACTATTTTAAATTTTTAAAAAAATTGTTGGTACTGGTGATTGAACTCAGGACCTTGTGCTTGCAAGGCAGGCCTGGTGCCATAAATGAATATTTTAAATGAATCATTATGTTACATTTCATCGAGAACTATTGCTATACAGTATTCTTTGTTTTTTGTTTTGGTACCAGGGATTCTTTACAGGCTCAGGTTTGTGAATTTTTTTAAATGTTATTTTTGTTACTCTTTCCGAATTTGCTCTCTCTGACCTGCTAGTGTTCCCCAGGAATGTTTCTTTTCTTTTTTTTTTTTTTTTGGTACCGGGGATTGAACTCGGCTCCTTGCGCTTGCAAGGCAGGCCACTGAACCGCTGAGCTAAATCCCCAGCCCCAGGAATGTTTCTAGTCTTTACTTCTAACTTCCTGATTTCTTCTTTAGGTAATTCTAGAAGGTCCAAAGCTGTGTACACATTAAATATAATAGTAACAGCTAACATGTACGGAGTGTGCTATAGGTGCTATGATATACATTTCATGGATTATTTCATTTAATCCTCAAAATAATTCTGAAGAACTGTTAATGCCTTGTTTCTAGATAAGGAAATTGTAGATAAGAAGTAGTACAGATCTGATTTGAACCACAAGAGGTAAAGGGCATAAGCCCCATATCAGGGAAAGAAGATGGGCTTCAAAATCAGATCCAGATTCAAACTGCAAGTCTGATTCTTATTAAAACAATGTGCAGATTATGCAAACTTCTTAAAGAAGAATTTCTGATCAGCTTTACTTGATGTTATCAAATTGTCCTCTAAGAAAGTTGAATGAATTTATACTCCATCCAACACTATGAAAGCACCCCTTCTTCTATACCTTCTGGCAGTGGATATTATCTTTAAAAAAATTTTTGGGGGGAGTACCAGGGATTGAACTCAGGACCTTGCACTTGTGGGGCAGGCACATTGCCACTGAGCTAAATCACTGGCCCTTCTTTTTAAAATTTTGATAACTTCAATAAGTGAAAATATTGTGTCAACTGTTAATTTGCATTTACATGATGCAAAAAGTAAAGGCAAACATTATAGGATATATATAGTATTCTGAAAATTTTATATTGCCTTTTCTTATCCTTCACTTCTTTAATTAATTTTGGGGGGGAGGGGTCTTTATTACTGATTTAGTATGGGATATTTTCTTCCATGTCTTTGCCTGTCTTTTTCACTTTATCTGATATGACAGAGTTTTAAGTATTTAAAACTTAACAAAAATTTGAAAATTTCAAGCTTGTCAAACTTGAAGATGTTTTTATTATTCTTAAGGTATCCTTTGCCCAAAGATTATGAAATGGTTTTCTATATCTTTTATTATTATTATTATTATTCCTCTTCCTCTTTCTCTTCTTTTTTGTTGTTGTTTTGATTTTTGAAATGGGGTCTTGCTAGGTAGCCCAGGCTGGCCTCGAACTCATAGCAATCCTACTGCCTCAACCATCGAGTGCTGGGATTATAGATGTGTGCCACCACTCCTGGCTATTTTTTCTTCTAACAATGACAAAGTTTGGTTTCTTATATTTATTAATTTGTTTGTTTGTTTATTTATTTTTGGTACCGGGGATCGAACTCGGGTCCTTGCGCTTGCGAGGCAGGCCACCGAACCACTGAGCTAAATCCCCGGTCCTGTTTCTTATATTTAATTATTTAATTCACCTGGAATTTATTTTGGAGTATAGGTTAAAGAGGCAAATTTATCCCCAAGAGAGTAAGTTGTCTCTAAATCTTTTCACCAAAGCTGACAGAGAAAAGGGCTGCACACAAAGGTCTAAGAATGAAGCCCAAAGCAGTCAACCACGAATGTAAAACTTGTTAGAAAGTTTTGTGTTTTATTCCAAAAGTTCAAGCTTCTACTCTGTATGTTTGCTTCAATATAAAAACTACACTCCTTCCTGAAAGCTCTGAGCAACACTAAAACTCCATGAGATATGTTATATTAATACTGCAACTGTGCAAACTCCATTACCTACAGCAGTCAGCAGTGTGACTGTGCTAATCCACCCCACAGGCCCGTTTACTTGTGTCCTGCACTGCATGCACTCACATACATAAACACAGCTCTTGGTCACAATCTTATTTTCTTGTTTGTCTCTCTGACTGACCACTAGACTGTGATCCCTTTGAGGGCAGGAATTCCTTATTTTCATCATTCCCAGTGCTTACCAGAATGCCTGCTAAAGAGTAAATGTTCAGTTAATACTTCATAAATGAATGAGCATTTGCCTAGAAATAGATTTCAGTAGGGGATCTGCTCTAATACATACTGGAATATTTATGAGTAAACTTTGGGATTTTCTTAAAAATAAATAGGGAGTGAGTGGAAGAAGCAATGGAAGTACAGATGAGCAAATGGGTAATGGGTATCTAGGGATCTGTTACATTTGTCTGCTTTCTTATGATTGAAATTTTCCATAGTTAAAAAAAACAGTCCACTCCATTTTGAATTCTCCTCCCTAGAGACTGTGATAATCTTGTTACTTAAGTACTCCAGTCTGAAATGGAGGGAAAAAACATATTTATTCTATTTTAACCTACAAGGCAGTGTAATATTATGGTGATTGCTATAAAAGGGAGGATGTCAAATGTCAGAGTAGCAGTAAATAACTTAAATCTCATTAGTATCCACATTATCATTCCATGGTCTGATAAACATATGTTTTAGTGTTTTGAACAACAGAGTTATATATAGTTGTATATAAAGATACAATTAAAATATAGAATTACATGGTAGGAGAAAATAAGCAAGTATTAATTCTACATTGTATACTGACTCAAAGTGATGCTTCTGGTTTTAGAATTTTATATTAATGCATTCTATGTCAGATGAAATTTAATCTTCTGATTTAAACATGAGTTGCTTAGGCCAACAGATAATAGTGGGTGAGAATACAGTAAAATTTCAGTATTTCATAATTAACTAGGTGCCAATGCTAACTGTAAGATATTAATTCTCGAGAGGGGGTTTTTTTCAGCTGCCTGCCTGCCTGCCTGTCTGCGATCACCCGGCGGCGTGCGCGCGAGCTCCCGGCCTGCGCGACAACAGACCCAGGAAGGACCCAAGGACCCCAGAGGGGGTTTTTTTTCAGCTGCCTGCCTGCCTGCCTGTCTGCGATCACCCGGCGGCGTGCGCGCGAGCTCCCGGCCTGCGCGACAACAGACCCAGGAAGGACCCAAGGACCCCAGAGGGGGTTTTTTTTCAGCTGCCTGCCTGCCTGCCTGTCTGCGATCACCCGGCGGCGTGCGCGCGAGCTCCCGGCCTGCGCGACAACAGACCCAGGAAGGACCCAAGGACCCCAGAGGGGGTTTTTTTTCAGCTGCCTGCCTGCCTGCCTGTCTGCGATCACCCGGCGGCGTGCGCGCGAGCTCCCGGCCTGCGCGACAACAGACCCAGGAAGGACCCAAGGACCCCAGAGGGGGTTTTTTTTCAGCTGCCTGCCTGCCTGCCTGTCTGCGATCACCCGGCGGCGTGCGCGCGAGCTCCCGGCCTGCGCGACAACAGACCCAGGAAGGACCCAAGGACCCCAGAGGGGGTTTTTTTTCAGCTGCCTGCCTGCCTGCCTGTCTGCGATCACCCGGCGGCGTGCGCGCGAGCTCCCGGCCTGCGCGACAACAGACCCAGGAAGGACCCAAGGACCCCAGAGGGGGTTTTTTTTCAGCTGCCTGCCTGCCTGCCTGTCTGCGATCACCCGGCGGCGTGCGCGCGAGCTCCCGGCCTGCGCGACAACAGACCCAGGAAGGACCCAAGGACCCCAGAGGGGGTTTTTTTTCAGCTGCCTGCCTGCCTGCCTGTCTGCGATCACCCGGCGGCGTGCGCGCGAGCTCCCGGCCTGCGCGACAACAGACCCAGGAAGGACCCAAGGACCCCAGAGGGGGTTTTTTTTCAGCTGCCTGCCTGCCTGCCTGTCTGCGATCACCCGGCGGCGTGCGCGCG